ATCTATCTATCTATCTATCTATCTATCTATCTATCTATCTATCTATCTATCTATCTATCTATCTATCTATCTATCTATCTATCTATCAGCAGAGGAACACCTGACCTCCTGGGTCTGGGCTTTGATCTGAGCTCGGTCACCTGACGCACAGACACACGCGCGCGCACAGGCGCGGCTCCACCTCACTCAGCGGCTGTGGGAGGAAAATCCAGCCCAGCATTTTCAAGGTTATCTCCTGCAGGATACTTCACTCACGGATCCTATGGGAATTCTGATAACCGCGATCTTTCTCTGGGCTGCAGTCGGAGGTAGGCGACCATCACATTTCCAAGCTGATCTATTTCTGCGAATAAATCCTAAAATCTGCGTGAGGCTGGAAAAGGCGGCTATAGGCGGGCATCCCTCCGGATGAAAGCCTCCTGTTTAAAATCTACTGCAGTGCTGCATCCGCTCAGCTGTTACTAACAGGACTAGAAACAGATACATGCTGTTTATTAAGGAGCACAGACCAGGTTTGTTCCTTTAATGACAAGAAAACAGTGGAGGTTTTATTCTTAATGCGCTTAACGCGCTGCGTTACATAACCTGGTTCTGATTGTATGGATCTGCTTCATAGTGGGTCACTATAACGACCACTGGCTGTTATGATGGGACATGGATAAAATGTGATCCTCACAGCTTAACCCGCACATTCAGAGTTCATTAGAGCCCCGCACAGGTGCGCGTGTATGAAGCGCCACGCGCCTTTGTGGCGCGCTCATAAAACAATGTTAATTTAAAACCAATAAATTAGACATCAAACGAATTAACTTTAACTATACAGATTTCTGTCAACATTTGATTAGCCTATAAATAAAAGGGTTTGAGTAAAAACAAGATAAAAAAAACTATTTGTCATATTAAAAAATATTTTGACTATAAGGGATAAAAAAACAGGGCCACCCTGAGACTGTATTGGGCCCTAACCACATGATTTAGGGCCCCATTACCAATTACACACATTAGTCAACACAGTTAATGTTTGCATGTTGAGCACCCTTTATCCCCAGAGATGTTTATTGGTAAACATGGATTGATTGATTTATTTTTAGTTATAGTGTAAAATGTGAGTCAAGCTATAAAAAACAGCATAAATTATAAACTGGGGCAACAAATGATAATCTAAATCAATCTGTGGGATTACATTTAGGCTGCACTGTCTCTTTAAATCCTAAACACTAAATAGAACTGTTTCAGTTTTCTATTATCAACTTTTAAAGTCGAATGTTTGACTTACCCCAAATAGAGAGTTGTTCCATGCCTACAATCTATATCAGAATGTGTTTGCTTCTGGCAGAGGTGGTAAAACCATGAAAAATCATCACTGCGGCATAAATTAAATCCCCACTTGAAGCCTGAAAGTCCTCACTATAATATTTTATTTTATATATTGTATAGGAAACAATAAAACATATTTTTTTTAGTAAGGTCGAAATACAGTGTCTTCCTCAAAAAGGAAAAAAAAAGGTTTAAAAAAACTTCCTGGACATCAGTGGGTTCTTTGGTACATTAAATATAGTTCTTTATTTTGTTTAAAAACCTAAACCTGATTAAAAGGGGAAGAAAATAAAGAAAATACAAAGCAATATGTCAGGCGGAAGCGGTGGAGTTTACTACATGTGGAGCAAGTGTTTGCGGCGACATTGCCAGACCCTGGATAGCTGTCACAGTAATAATTATAATACGTTTTCTTTCAAAGGTGCCTTTCTGGACACTCAAGGTCACCGTACAAAAGGCAACTTTGTTGCTATATAATCATAAATACTCATACAGCAAGGAGTAATGTCTTTGCTGCTAGAACTTCATCCATCTTGGTTACTTAGTTCGTCTTCTTCAGAGTCAGTTAAGTCGAATCATGCAGATTGGTTGTAATCTTTCCAAATACCTGTAAAGGTTTGGTTGAGCTTTGGAGGTGTTCACAAGCAACTGAGGCAGGAATCCAAAAATCCAACATGAAAATGTAAAGCAAACCAGAACCATGGAGACATCAGCGAAAGCAAGCATGAGGAGCCGGGGAAAGACCGAGAAAGATGAGGAACTAGCACTGAGGAACTGTACTGGGAGAGTTTATGGGCGACTGAACAATGACGGGACTAATGAGCTGATTGGGAGCAGGTGTGAACAGAGGATTCTAGAAAGGAGCTAGGGAAAAGGAGGCCAACACAAGAGGGCAACAAAGAAAAAAACCTAAGAACTCAAATACATCCAGAAACCACAACAAAATAGGAATTAAACCAATAAAAATAGAGAACAAAGAAAAACATCAATCAACGTGAAACTGAAAACTCAAAGAAATCTTAACAGAACCAAGACCGTGACACTACCTAAATTAGCAAAACAGGATAATTAATAGATTTGGAGGAGTAATACAATTATTAACATAACATGAAAAATGTATTTTCTTCTTATATTTATGAAAATAATCAATTTCTTCAAACAAAGCAAATGTTGATGTATTTTCTTTCCTATCGAAAAATTCCCTCCTGTTTATGATATTTTTCATCTTGAAAGTCTCTTTTCTTCAACAGATGAGCTGCTGTTGGTCCAATGGATCACTCAGCAAATAACCACATTATAGCTGGATGCCTGTGCACTGTATTGAAAAATAACTTTAGCTCGAATTAGAAAGAAATATCAATGATAAACCTTTGATAAAATTATGAAATATAAACTTTATACACAAAAAACTGAAAAATTAGCCTTTTTTTTGCTCTGGCAATTCTTTACTTCTGTGTTTTTAAAGCACATGTTTCACATTTTTAAGCAGCAAAAAAATTGAACTTATTTGAACCAAATTTTTATTTGATCTTATATTTTTTTAAGGTGTGGCTCAGGTTCTGATTAGTTTGTCTTCTTGTGAGAAAACAAGCAGAGCGAGCTGCTTAAGCTGCCTTCAATGGTCTGTGCAGGCGGAGGATTGGTGACATATTTAGCTCCGGTGGGAAAAACTACCTGCGAGCTAAAGCTGCCGTGATGTCAGACTGAGAGGGATGCAGGGTTAAGCTCCTTTGCAGCGTTCTTTACGGGGGAAACTGCTCTCACCTTAATGAGGGAACAGCTCCACCTGTGCAGGATTAAAGGCGCACAGTCGCTCACCTGCTCAGCTGTGTCATACCATCAGCTGCTGCAGAAATCCTACATCTACAGATCTTGTCTTGCATTTAACATTTTGTTCCTCTGTTTGCAAACTCCATCCATGCAGTGGGAAGCCGACCAGCTACCTCACCCCTTAATGACGCAAAGGTCGGAAAGAAGTTCTCTGTATTTATGTTGTTGTTCAGCTTTTACCCTCAAGTACTAACTGTGCTGTTGTTGCCAGCAGGTTGAATGTATAATTCAGGAGACACTGAATGACGACGGGGGGCAGCATGAGTGTGCTGGATCCCAGCTTGCAGGTATAACATCATATCTTGTATATCTATGATGTCAGCAGCATGCTTTAATAATGAAATAGCAATCTTGAAAGTACTTGATCTGGTCTGTTTTACCTTTTTAGACCTATATAAAATAGTGCATACATTTAAAATGGGTGTTAATTAATCAGTAATTACAAAAGAAAAAAACCTATCTGAAAAGTGTGGCATGCATTTATGTCCAAGGCTAATTTAGTCAACACTGCACAATGAAGACGTTACAGCTTCTCTACATGTTTATGCATTTAGCTGACGCCTTTATCCAAAGCGACTACATATCTATGGAGGTACGTCTCTACCTGCTTTACACAAGTGCAGCATCTCACAGGTTTTCTCCCAGGCTCACCCTGTTGATATGAGTCCGTTCCTGCTTCCATCTAACATCCTCGTTAACATGATGCTGCTGCTGCCAGGCTTCTAAGTGAGGATAGGCTGCGCACATCATTTACATACCAACCGAATCATTAATTTTGTCTTATGAAACCAAAACACTTTCTTCTAGATGTTTCCTGTATCTCCTACATGGGTTGTGGGGAATTTTGTACGCCGTTATTCCCTTCTCCCCGTCTTGGCAGAACCACTTGCCCTTTTCCTGGTAAATTAGAGTCTCTGAGGCCTCAAAGAGCAGCTGGATATAATGAAGGACACATTAGGACACCATTGATCATTTGTGACAAAATATAAGTTATTATTGTCCATAACATTTCCTGAGATGGATATTTGTCTTTGACATCTGAGTGGTTCAAACATAAAACACATCATTTTAGAAGAAGTATCTAAAAAAACATATTCCTAAACAGTTCCATAAAAAACAATATTAAAATAAACAAATAGATAAAATAATGTTGTAAGCAGTGCCTAACTAAAATATTAATCATTCAGAAAAGCCATAGCTAGGGGAACAAAGGAGTTTTATACCTGCTAGTGTTTGCTAGCGAGCCTGTCCTGCCAGATGGCAGCAGCTGAAAGGAGGATTGCAAAGGATGAGCTGGATTCTTGTTCATCTGTAATGCTTTTTTTTTTCCTTAAAGCAAATGCATCCACTGCATAAAAAACAACTAAATAATTAATCAGAAAAGTGAAAGTAACACATTGAACTCAATTTATTTGAGTAAATTTTGTTACACAACTGCATCAAAAGCTATAAAACACCAGGAGAGATCAGATAAAGTCTATGTAAAATTTCTGGATCTATTTCAATACAATAAAAAAAAAAAATTGTATATGGAGGTAAGGTGTGTTTCTTAAGCCTGACCAAGCAGACTGATTTACACTGTGTGTTTGGTATATTATTCTTGAAGGGAGCTGGTAGTCTAATTTCTAATGGTCACAGAAACAGTTGAGAAGAAATCAGATAACTATGACGTTAAAAACACCTGTTTGTTTAAATAAAAGTTCTTAGAGCAGGCAGTTGGTGAAATTTTATGTTCTGGGACATATTAAAGGACATATTTAAAGCATTGCTTTATTCCAGCTGCAATCTTGATTTTTATTAGTAACAAAAAGCAATGCTGCATTACGGACCCGCCTCCTGCGCTGTGATTGGTCCAGTCTGTTCGACTAGAGAGTACTGAGCCTCACCAGATTGATTCACACCCCTGGCCAAACCATGTTTCCCCGACTCTTCAACATTTATCCGCCCTTATTTACCAACAGAGCGGCACAACTGATGTTGTTCAAAATAGCAGTGGAAGGATGTATTACCAAATTGTATGAGTTTTTTAAAATAGAAATACAAGCAAAAATAATGATTTTCTATATACAGTTAGATTTGAGGAATTAAAATTGATTTTGAATATTGCACTGATTCCTAGACGGTGCAGCAGAGCAGTGACTTCCTGACAGATGCTCACAATGTTTGGTACCCAAAATGTTAAGGTTAGGTCGGATTGTCAACTGGGGGAGGAGGTTTGACAGGACCCAAAAGCAGACACAAAAAGCTGAAGTGGTTTCTTGAATATTTAATTAACCAAAAAGTTCAACAGAAGCTAAAAATCCGAAACATAAATCCACAAAAACTAAGAACCAGTACTTACAAATAGGGCGCAAAGAGACGACGACAAACCAGCGAAGAGTGACTGAACAGGAGGAGACTATATGGGAGAGACAAACGAGGACCAGGCTGATTAGCAGATTGGGAGCAGGTGTGAACAGAGGCAAGAAGTGGGCTGGGGAAAATGAGACTGACACAGGAGGGCGAAGTAATATTTAAGAACTCGAATAAAAAATAACTAAAACACAGAAATGAAAATAAGACCAATGAAAACATAGATATAAAACTTGAACAGAACCAAAACTATGACACGGATTTAGCTGTTATAATCAAGGTAATCCAGATAAATACAATTTTTATCAATATTTAAATTAATTATATTTGCTACCTTTTTTTTGCTTCTATTCTAAAACCCAGTGAAATTCTTTGAGCTTTGTGGTTATGATATAATGTGAGACGGTGTAGAAATACCAGGCATTTAAAGCCGGCATTCCTCTTCTTGTGTAAAGAGGCTGAGCAAACACTAAGAAGATGTTGAGGGACTCCCTTCAGAGGAGGCCTGTTTTTCACCTGCTGCTGTCTTTGTGCTGCATTGCTGTTGCAGATGAACTTAATGAGCTGCAGAGACACCAGGGTCTTCTGAGGGAGCTGCAGAGGCTGGCTGATGACGGTACGCAAAGATACTCACTGACAGCTGCTGATGTGTTTATCAGCCTTAGAAACGCTCGGATGTCATTTTATTGACTTGAAAATGAGACCGACACTGAGTACCGATTGTTTTTACAGAGCGGGAAAAGGAGGAGCGGGATGAAAAGGTGAGAGGGGAGTACAATCTGGCCGACGATGAGAGCGAATTTGAGCAGAGAGACGAGGAAGAAGAGGAGAGTGAGGGGGAAGATGATGGAGGAAAGAAAGAGGAGCCAGAGACTGAAGGTGATGAAGAGGAGAGAGACAGAAAGATGGAGAGCCAGTTAGCTGAAGAGGTCAGCAAGGAAAGAGAGGAAGAAAAGAATGACGAAGAGCTCAGAGAGCTGCTGAGGGAGCTGAAAATGAAGCAACACAAGCCTGAGAAGGAGAACCAGAAAGGAGCAGATCTAAAAAAGGAGGTGGAGGAGAAGAAGACCAAGCAGAGCAAAGAGGAAGAGGGCAAAAAATTAGAGGACTTGGAGAAGCAGAGGATGGAGGAGAGGAAGAAGAATGAAGTGGAGCTGATGGTGGAGAAAGAGAAGGTGGAGAAGGAGCTGAAGGAGCTACTCAAGGAGCAAAACAACGGGAGCAAGCCAGAGCAGGAGAGGGAGAGGAAGGAGAAGCAGGAGGAGCTGGAGGAGCTTGTCCGAAAGATGAAACGGGTGCAGGAGGAGGAAACGCAGGAGCAGCCAAGCGGGAAGAGGAACACAGACATTACGGATGTAAAGGTGAAGGAAAAACAGAGTGGAGATGAGGAGGAAGTCAAGAAGAAGAACGAAGCAGAGGAGGTGAAAGAGCCGCTGCAGAAGAGAGAGATGGAGAAGGCCAGCGACGAGGCCACGAGGCAGTTTGAGAGGGAGAGGTACGAGGAAGAGGAGGAAAATGCAGAGAATGATGATGAAGAGGAGGAGTTTGTTAGAGAGGATGAGGATGAAGGGGATGCTGAAGAAGATGAAGGGGAGGTGAGTTAAAACCGACAGCATGTCTGTAAGGTTTTTAATCGCACTGAAATGAAATGTGTGTATTATTTTAAGTCATCACTAAGGTAAAATGTCAAAGAGTCTCTGAACCTGACGCCCTTTTATGGTCATTCCTAATTCATCAATGGCTCCCTTTCATGAAGAAATCTGAACTCCATCTCTGGTGACTGATGCAATTTTACAAATATTAAAACTAGTAGTTATAAAAAAAATAAATAAAAAAAGAATGCAGGGTGGCTATCTGTAAGCCCACAGCCCACCAAATGTTGAAAGGGGAAATTTAATGGCCATTACTGTTAATATCTGGTAGAAATGTTGCACATTCAGTAATAAAATGTCACAGGGGATGGTATGGGGTGATGGTCATTTAAGAAGGGGGATGCTATCTCATCCCCCCTCAACTGGAGTACTGATTACATCTGATATTACAATATGGCAAATGAATGAATTAAAAGAGATGGCTTAACTTCTCCTGACAAGACCTTGAATTGTACTGTTTGCCAGCCAGTTGCTAGGTCTGTCAAATAAAAAAACAATAAAAAGCTAAAGCTAACTGTACTGACTTCTGGTTAGAATTAGAAAACTAGCAGCCATAGCAATACTTTGACTGTCCAGAACAAAGGAGTCCACCTCTGAAGTCGGCACAAACATTCAAAAGCTTGACTGAGATTCACCTTTGTTTTTATTAAGGTTGAGTCTGTAAAAAAAATAAATAAATAAAGTAAAATGTAAGAAAGTGAAAAAGCCATTTTCAGCTGTATCACAGAATCTGGCAAAGCCTGAGTTTCGTTTCATGGGTCTTCTACCCGCTATTTCTGTCAGTGCAGAATCCTGCATTCCTATTGGTGCAATATATTTTACAGTTTTGGACCCACCAATATTTATGTAACAATATTTAGATACTATAATTTTTCAGTTGAAATGGATACTTCTAAACTTTAGTGGAAGTTTTATTTTTGAAAAATCAATAATTTTTAATGGAAAAATGTAAAACTATGACCTTGAAGTTTCTGTTTACTCTTTCTGGCATTTTTTGCATGACTTACAGAAGTTTGATCTTAATTTATTTATTTTTTTAACATTATATTTAAATCTGGGTTAAGACTATTTTTTAGGGATGCACGATATTGGGATTTTGGCCGATATCCGATATTTTAAAACTCATGTTGCCGATAATCGATACCGATACCGATGTTAAAGCCCGACAAAAATAAGTAGTCATTGAAAATAGCAGTTTTGTTATCCATTTCTGACACTTTGAAAAATAATATACTCCAATATATTTTCATATGCTGATATCAAATTGATTTTTAAAAAAGCGGTATCGATCTATTTTACTTTCAAAATCTCATGAAATTTCATCGTTCTGTTAAAAACTCTCGTGATATTTTGCATATTCTTGTGAGATTTTGTTAGTAAAATAGATCGATACCATGTCAATATATCACCATATAAAATATGGCTAAATTTCTTGAATTTTCGGGGGATTTCGTAGCATAACGATGACATATAGCAATATTTCATTAGTAAAAGAGATTGATATGGTGTTTTTAAATGGCAATATATCAGCATATGAAGATATTGTGATATTTTAATATATCAATATTTTTTCCCTCGTCTTTAGAAGTTTTTAAGTCTGTAAAAAAGAAGTTTTTGAGGAAGAAGAAGAAGTAGTTTTTTTTTTGTTTTTTTTTTTTAGACTTTAGAAACTCAGAAACTGATCAAATATCGGGTTTAATATCGGTGGGGTGGCCGATGTCCGATATTCAGTTTTAAGGTCGATACAGGCTGATACCGATAGGGGGCCGATTATATCGTGCATCCCTACTATTTTTATACCAGGTAATTTTACTTTGTCTAAAGTATTTATAAAATCCTCTACGGTAAATCTAGGTTACTTGATTTGGCAAATTGGATATTTAACATAAATCAAGCTTTCCAGAAATGAGAGTTTGTAACCAAAATCTGATCCAGTTTTTTTTTAAAGCTATATTTACCCAATTCTAATATCTTTAAAAAAACATTGAAACACTTATTTCCACCCGTCCTGCCGTGAAGAGGTACTTTATCAGATGGAGCTGCAGGAACTCTAACACGCTTTGTGACGCTCAGAGGTAAACAGCTCAGAGGAGCTTTGCTGTCCTCCGTTCACCCGTTTGACATCTGCTGATGGGCCTCAATACGTTTCCTTTTAAACTGTTTCCTTTTCTTTTTTTCAAACACATGGCAGATATTAAATAAAGCTAGCTGCCAGTCCTCTTCAGGCAGTAATAGCTTTCGCTCTGAGGTGTTGGCTTAGCTCTGCCTGGATTAGACAGCTGCAGGGTTTAGGTTTGATATCTATCACCAGGTTTCTCTAGTTTTAGTCCTTGGTAAGAAAATTAATCTCAGCAGATTAGTTCACACATACAAAAAAAGATTATTTAGAGTATTGGAAACAAAAAAACCCTCATATACTTATTTATAATAAGCAGGATCTGCTTTCTAAGTTTGAAGCAGAGCATCTATCTATAACGTTTCATATTTATTGACATTCACAGGAGCAATCTGGATCTTTAATTCCTGAACTTAGTGTCCAAATCCTCAGCTTTACCTCTCATGATTCTCGTCTGTTTGGAGTTTTAAAAAGTAACCCTGCATTCATGTGCTATTCATACTTTTTCCTTTCTAGGAGCTCCTGGAGATTGAAGCAGAGCTACGCAAAGTGGCAGCAGAGCTGAGGGAGCTTCGCCGGGGATGAGAAGACCCCCCCCTCCCTTTTCCATTCACACATCACAATCACACATTCCCCATTTTCCAGCCCTCACAATCATCGCTGCACTTGGAGGAACGTCTTTAATCGTGAATCCGTACGTGGCTCGTCAGTAGAAAGTGTGAATTCTCTTTGCTTTTAGATTGCCAGGAGGAATCAGTCTCTGTTTCCGCGTCTGAACTGGACTGCCTCCTGGAGATTCTGCAGGTTCTCTTCCATCTCTGATTTCCCTCTCTGATTGCTTGTAAAAACGCTATTTGTAAGAAGGACGGGGTCTTTTCACTTTAATTGCACTTTCTCAATCTCATGCACTTTCATTCAAACTTTACTTTGAATGCACAATACTAGAAACCCCTGATCCTTCAATCTGACCGTATCGTTTGTAACATGTATTCCTGCTGGTCAGTTGTAGATATTCAGTGCAATAACTGATAACTTAGTTAATGCTGTCCGACTGTTAAACAGTAACAATGTTCATATTATGAATAAGTCATTACTTCCTTACAGTTTCTTTAAAGATCCAGCTGAAGCACAGATTGTGTTTAATTTGGCTCACGCACTGTTAAAACTAGACTGTTTATAACGAACCCAAGTGGCACCGGCAGAATTCAGAGATAAATCTTACATTGCACCACCAAGTCATGTGTGTCTTTGGTCTGGTGCGTTAATGCGGAAGCAGAATTTGATTCTCTGAGAGCTTAAAAGGTCTAAAAGTGTCACTTTGGGTTCTTATCCCGCTTTGCACTCTGAACAAGCCAAGGAGCAGTTGAAGAAAGGAGGAGGAACACTCTAAAGCCATGAGCTGTCAGCGACAATAACAGTGATTTCCACAGCTGGCATCCCATTTGTGTAAATATTCCACTTTTGCTCCTTCAGCCAAGGTTACATGAAACACGGAGCAGCAGCCCCCCCTTGAGGACGATGGGTAGACATGAACACAGTGCACGGATCAACAGGGTCAGCAATGGAGGTCCACTTGCTGCAACAATGCAATATAGATTATAACACACGTGAATGCAATAATTAGCTAATTGTAATTTAGTATGTAATGGAAAGCGCCATTAGGATTTTTTTAGCACAGATTCATGTGTTTAAAAACATGCAAAATAGTCAGCCGCAGGTTGGATAAACTTTTAAACAATCCCAGACTATGAGCTGGAGATGCTGAGATATTCTCCTCCAAGTAAAACTTTTCCAAATGAGTTATGAATGTACTGTATTTAATTTTTTTTATAGAGAAGTGAAAAATTTTTTCCACAATATAAAACCCTAAAAGCCAGCAGAAGGCAACAAATGTCTTTTTTATGCTCAGGAAAGAAGGGAATATACAGAGAGCAATCTGAGTAAATAAAAAAACAACATCTAGAAGATTAAAATAATATGTTATTTACAATATTACTGGCCAATCACAGTGCTGTACTTTGTGCCTGCTGTATTCTTCTCTATGCTACCTGTCAATCAATAAATGATGTATTAAACCTTCTGATCTGCTTACTGGAAATTTTCTTTGTCCTAAATAAAAAAAAATAAATAAATAATTTAATTTGGTTAAACAAATCAAAATGATATCTATAACTCTTTGGCAAAAAGTCTATATATCATCATAATATATTTGTAGTGTTAGGTCTAAGGTATAGGGACATAATGTGGGCCAGGACTTGTTCTATTGGCCATTCTTTGCCCCTGTGTAGAATTTTAATGTAAAAAAAAAATCTCTCTCTATATATATATATAAAAAAACACAATATTTTAATTCTTAAAGCTTTCAGGTTGCCTCTCAAACCCATAGGAGCTTCACAAAAAGAAAAAGAATCATGTATGTATTTTATTTTTCAAAAGATCAGCCACCCAAGAAAGGACCAACCAACAGGGAGGATGTGCAGAACAACTCATTTATCCTGGATTCATAGAGGAGAAACCACAGAGATGTTCTTCTTTTATTATTATTTATCTTTATTTTGGTCCACAGGATATGTTTAAAAGCTTAATTTTAATCACACCATATAAATGAAACATCCAGAGAAGTGTGTCTCCTGTCATGGTAAGTTTTTTTATAAAATCTACAGCCTCCTAGGAGGTCTGAATTCTGTAGCTGTTTTGTCAGTTGTAAGAAAAACTAATAAAATAATGAATAAAGCTTTTTAATCCTTAGCCTATTACCAAATATTCATACACAGTGTAGTTTGCATAGGTTTTGATTGCACTGGTTCCTGTATCAGTGCCAGTAATAGCTTATTAGTTCCCCATTTTTTTATTTACTTTAACTGCGAAGAATAATACGAAAGAGGATTAGGGCCACTGAATTTTTTTTTTTAAATTAACAGATTTTTTAATTTTATTTCAGTGTAATATGAGAAAAAAGTCAGAATTCGGACTTTTTTCTCAGCATTCTGACTTTTTTAAGAGATTAAAGTCAGAATGCTGAGAAAAAAAATCAGAATTCTGACTTTTTTCCTATATTAATTAACCTGATTTATATTTAAAAATCAGTTAACTTTTTAAAATGTTTGGCCCTAATCCTTTCCCGTAGAATAATTAATGAACGATGTTGTGAAATTCTTAGTTTAAACTATATTTAAGATGCAAGTAGTTTAGTAGGGCCCATTCCGCTTTACTTGAGTTCTCTAAAAATCACCAGTGTAGAAAATTATGTATATTGTGAGAAAAATATACATAATTAACATCATAACTACAGACCACTTATTGTTACACAGTAACATTTACTGTGCTATAAAAATTCCAAATTTTTCCACTTTGATTCAGTTAAATCCTCTGAAAACCTCCAACCTTTAGCTGCACCTATCCTCATCTAACCCTGACAGGGTTTGCTGTCCAAAGTATTTGAAAATCTCACCCCAAGGTTTAGTGAAAAGTTGGTTTCCCTGATATAAGCTCTTCAGGTGCGGAGCTAGATGGGGGGCCAGGGGTGGCCATAGTCGCCCTTAGCTAATCATTGGCCACAACTACCATTTTTCCCCCTCTAAAACAGATGGTGGGAGCAGTAATACTCTTAAGTGGAATATTCAAAACATTTTATTTTTTTATGTGTTTAAAATATCTTGACAACAAAAACTGTCATGATCTGGCCTGTTTGCTCTCCCTTAATTAGTCATTCCTTTCACCTGTGGTTTTTCCCTCCCTGCCTCTATTATAATTTATTCCTCTCACCTGTTTCCTCTAGTTTATATTCAGTTCAGCCTGAGCATTCAGGGCCAGATCATTGCTTGTCTTTCTGTCAGTCTTTCTGTTCAGTTTTATTTGGTTCATGTCCTGGATCCTAGCTGCCAGTATATAGGGGGTTTTAGTGTTTGTCTTGTCTCCTGACTGTCCACTGTTCCTCTCCCGCGGAGTCCTCTGAGTTTTTGGCTCATTATGGGGGGAGGTTCAGTTTTTATCAAAGTAAGCCTGGCTCCAGGAGGAGACCGGTTTAAAGTCCTGCTTCAAGTTCCAGTTCCTACGTCCTGTCTCGTCTACCCTCTTCCACTGAGCCTGCTCATCTGCACCTGATCCTGTCTGCTCCTGTGCGTGACCACCTGGTCATGCTTCTGGTCCCAGTCAGACTCTGAACCCTCCTGGAAGCCTGTGGATGCCTGGAGGTCGGGATCCTGCCACCTGTTCCTGTTCCTGCCTGATCTGGATCCTGTCTATTCCTGTCTGTTCCTGATCCCTC